ATCTGGTCGGTCTGGGCTTGGGAGATGCCGAGGACATCACGGTGAAGGGGCTGGAGGCGGTGAGGCGGTGCCGCAGGGTGTACCTGGAGGCCTACACGTCCCTGCTGACGGTGGGGAAGGAAGCGCTGGTAGGTCCTGCTGCTGCGGAGGCACCAGGGCCCTCGCCCCTCGGGCGCAGCAGCGAGGAGGGCTGGGGCTGGGGGGCCATCAGCGGGAGCAATGAATGGTGCATGTCCCCGGAACAAGTGTTTTTTAATACTGTCTAACATGACTTTCACACACTCTATTTTATTGGAAAAATCATTTTACTACCTTCTGAGAAGACTGGAATGAAAATAAATTTTCCTTTCTATAAGTAATGTTTGTATTTTGACAGTAATTTTCATCTCGAGTTCTAACATGACAATCCTGAAAAGATGGGGAGCTTGGTCAGCAAAATGTATCATGTGATTTAAAAAAAAAAATACAAAAAATCGACATACCAGAAAAATAGATATTTTGGAGCCTTGGACCTCAGCATGAGCCTATGGTGTCATGATGCCTGCTGGGAGTAACAACTCTGGTGTCTCAGGTGTCATTGTTTCTTTGTGGGCCAGGCTGGCTCACCATGTTGAGTCTTCCAGAACATAGACAGTTCAGTCAAGAGATGGGCTGTTGAACAAAGAACAAAGCTTTTTGTTAGTAAACACACCTTATGGAAGAAAAAGTGTAGACAATTGCACCACCTTTTTTGGTCTATACAGTGGAAAAAAACCTCTATATAGTGATGTAAATGTGTAAAATCTATGGTGAAACATGAGATACAGACACAGAAGTATTCAGGGTGGTCATATAACATGTTTCTAGAACTAACTGAAGTTTTATTACACATGTAAGTTTGATTTTGGAAATAAAGGCATTTAAAACTTACAAAGTGACACAATGATTACTGATCTGGTGAAGAAAAGCATGGGGGACAATCAAATATGTGTTTATGATGTATTTCTTACAGAGAACTGAAGATGAAGGATTAATACAAAATAATTCCTTAGATGTGGTTAGTCACAATGTGCTGAGGAAAAAAATCTAAGAAACTAAGTTATGGTGTTGCTAGTGTCATATTTGTATCTGATTTGATGTCAGTATTCTGACTAACCAAAGAAGTTAGGCTCAGGCTTGTTGGAGGGGGTCCCTTACAGTAGGACAAACAGTTAAATTAACTATACCTAGAGTCCACACAGGTACCCTCAGTGTGCAGGTGTCATTGAGCTATTTTTGGAGCACCTCCTCAACTGACAGAGAAGGCATAAAAAACAAAGAATCAGAATAATGTGCTTGATTAATTTTTGTCAACTGAGGAGCTGCTTAATATTCCTGCAAGGGGAGGCAGGGTTCTAATACATAGGTCAGACTGCTAGGGAGAATAATGAGGTTGGCCTTTCCAGTGTCTGTTGTCCATGTTCTTGAGTGAGCACCCAGTGAGATATGAAAACACTCCCAAGTGTCCTATTTTGATGCTTCTTATTAATTTCAATTTCTAGGAAGAGTTTTATGGAAAAGAATTGATTTTGGCTGACCGAGAAATGGTGGAACAAGAAGCAGACAGCATTTTAAAAGAAGCTGATGTTTGTGATGTCGCATTTCTAGTAGTTGGGGATCCCTTTGGGTAAGACAAAGGAAAGTTGTAGTTACTGCTCTAGCTTGGTCACTCTCTTTTTTTCAATGGGAAGCAGCCATACTCTGTAACTGTAATTCTTTATGAAGAAGCTGGTTTTCAGACCAGAAACACTTTTTAAGTCTGTATATTTTTAATTGGATTAAAATATACATGCAATTGTATACACTTTATCTTGCTTTGGCATTTCCTTGCCCATACATCCCTTATAGACAGGAATGTGGGCCATCCAGGATATGTAAATCTTCCTTTAACTTACCATTTAATTCTCCATGCTAGCTTTTATAGCAAATATTTTGTTCCAGGTTTTATCTGCCAGTAGAAGAAATCTAGGATATGATGTAAGACATGGCTATGTTTTGAGAGAGTATCCTTTTAGTTGCTATGTGTGCTTACAAACTGCAGCTTTTATGCTCAGTTGTTTTAGAGTGAATACTGATTGTTGGTTGTACAGTGCTTCTGCTAGTTTTTAAAAACACTTAGGTCATTATAAATGTCTTCTCATTTTGGTTTATTAAACCTTTTGTTTCCACTTTTTATTTCTGCTGAAAAGTATTGTCTTTCTCTGTCACCAGAAGGATCCCCCTTCTGTCTTTTCCATCAGGCATCATCAATCTGTAATGTCAAGCCATACAGAAAAGCTTTTAATCTCCAGCTGGTGATTCAAGGTTTATACCACAATGTTAAGTGGCACAAGAAAACTCAAATCACTGAGCACCCTATTTGTGAGTGAAAAAACAGAGTTTATGAAAAAGACCAGTGTGTACATCCATTAAAAAGGAATAATGTATGTAAATACAGGTTGAAGGGAACTGGCAAGAGAATATTACATTAAACTAGTGCTTATGGGCAGATTATACTGTATTTCAGAAATATTAATTATACTTTCAGTGCATGTTAACATTAAAATTAGAATTCACGTAGAGTGTCAAGCCACGTTACCTGTACCTTTGTGCTCTGATCCAGTGACTGGTACAAGTACACAAGATAAAACCCCTAATACGTATTAAAATATAATTGCTCCTTGTAAGCAGTATCTTGATCTGCCTCAGTTATCATTATTTTGTGTCAAAATACTTCAGTTCTGATTAAAATACTACATCATTGTAGAAAACTACTCTTGAATGAGTTGTTTCCCTTTAAATGTTTATGTTCTTAGCTCTTAATATGGCAACTAGAACTACTCTATGCCCATATAGAGCTCTTAGGAAAGAGTACTGAATGTTCCTGTCCTAAGAGAAGCCATATGGTAGGAGGATAGAAGCCATGTGACTGCAGCTGATCATAGAGTTTCAACTATATCTGCAAGTCAGAAAAGCACTTGACAGCCCTAGGAAATCTCAGGTGTTGGTGGTTAATGGTTGAAGTGATAAAACAAGCTCCGCCCACATCATTCTTCTCACTGTTGTTCCCTGCAAGTTTCTATATGCATATATGGTAACAGCTATGGATGTGCTAGCAGGAATCTGACAATTTTAGTAGTATACTGGAAAGCCAACCTGCATGTAGCCTGGTGCTAAGCATTCATATTATTACTACCTGTGAAACTTAATATCTGTATTAGTGCCAGAAAATGCTAGTGCATCTCTGGGTGCAGAGGGCTGACTCCGTGCTGGCATTAGTTGAGTGCTCATGAGGGCACTTCTGCTTTTAGTTACAGTAATTATAGGGAGATCTGTTGGGAGAAAATGATGGCTATGGCAAATTTTAGTGAATAAAGCCAGCTGATCCCTTGGTCAGTCTCCAGTGCTCCTTATCCTGTATATGTGAAGGGAAGAATACAAGGCCATAAAACTACTCTTCTCTTCCCTTTGGGCAGGCATTCTTAAATCACTTTTGCTTATGGAAATTAGGAACATAGTTTATTTACTAACCAAAATCTTGGTTTAGATCACTTTATTGCATTGTCCTAGGTCTGGGAGGCTGTTTGTATCAGGGTTTCTGATTTTCTAAGTTCAGGTTCCTCTATTGTTTTTTTCCTTCAGTGAAACTGATTTCTTTTTTAAATAATTGATCTTTACAGCCTTGCCAGCTGCTGCCACATTTGTGTTCCAATGTGAAGTACCTGATCTGCTGATTGGTACTAGTCAGACACACAGCATCAAAATTATCAAACTGAAAATCAGGAGAATTCTGTTGGGGTAACTGAACCAAACCAGGGTGAAAGCAGTCTTGCTATTTAATTATTCTAATTGGCATATGCTGTTTATTTCTTTGCTTCTTTCTTCAGAATGGCCACAAAGAAATGTGTGGTACATCTTGGAAATGAGATGGCTAAGGCCATTGTTCAGGTTTGATAACTCTAGGCAAGGGGTAGGTGCTTTTACGTATTTCAGGTGGAAAATGAAGTGCCATGTATTTAAGCATACATGTAAGCAAGATACATATGTAAACATTGTTGCAATTAAAAGATTTGCTGGATCTATATATGCTTACCATATGTAGCTAATCCCAATGGCATTAACTCCAAGCCCAGTAATTCTTGAACCAGTCACAGCAAGGTGTTTATTAAGCATTAGACCTGGAGCCAAATTTAGTTCAGTTTGAAGCTTAACTAGAATAGTCTTAATGATTTCAGCAGAAACTTGATCACTCAAACTTAGGCATTGTTAATTTGAGTAACTTGGCTTAAATATTATAAAATTTTATTTAGTCTAAGGATGTTTTTTCTAAGTACCACATGCAGTTTACCTCAGTCTGTTCAAAATTCTTGTGTCAGTGTTACTGCTTTCCTAGCATGCAGTGGTGCAGGTGGGAGAAGGCCTGGCTGGACAGCGAGTAAGGAAATACTGGAGTTTTGCTGAAGTCTATGTCAAATAGAGCTGACCTTTAAAGTTCAACAGATGTCCAACAGATACCTGCAGAAACAAAGGTTTAATAGAACCTTTCTTTTCAAGTAGTTACCCAAGATACTTTAACGTGTTGGTATTACACTTTTGATGATGCCAGAAAGCTGCAGAGAACTGTAAAATACTAAGGATGGCTGTATTTGCAGCTAAGGAGGATGAGATACAGAAGCCTCATTGGAGTTTTCACTTTCCTGCAACAATTAATGAAGTGATTGTTGCCCTTTTGGCACTTTCTCATTGCTCTAGTTGTGAGGAGTTTCATTTTACTTTATCAAAGTATATTGCTAGTCATTTTATATTTTCAGTCTTTAATTCTTTTCTCTTCTGAACACAGGGCCACGACACACAGTGACTTAGTACTACGTGCAGTAAAATTGGGGATTCCATACAAGGTCATTCATAATGCTTCGATAATGAATGCAGTGGGCTGCTGTGGTTTACAGGTAACATTTTTGTATTTATGGTATTTCACAACTGCTAAAATTAGAATTGGTAACCTCTTTTACTGCTGCAGCAGTGCATGTTGCAATCTGAAGATTTGTAGCCACTGTACACTTCTGTTGTTAGAATTTGTTAATACTTCCTTTGTCAGCAAAAGTCCCTTTGGTGAGCGCATGTGTAAGTTAACACTTCTGTGCATCTTCCCTCTCTGACCTCCCTCTGTCCCAGGAGATATTGATCTTTAAGTTATTTTACAGCTCAAACATTGGTCATGTTGGCTTTCTTCTACTACTGCTGGTCACCTGTTTATTCTTAAATTAGGTTGTTACACTATTGAGAAGTATTCTTGTCATAAAAGGAATATCTGGACAAGGGTGTCTAGGTCCCCAACTCGGATCATAGTAGTTCCAAAATCTTGTGTATGGTGCATTCTTTCTCTCTGAGGCTAACCCATCTTCACTTTCTGCTTATCTGCTGAGAGAGGACAGATTTGTCTAGCCAAGGACTGAAACAACAAATGTTTCTTGCATGGCTAAAGTAGAAAAGGCCTAGCGTTCCTCAAGTAAATACTACTTTACTTCCTTTTACACTTAGGTAAGTCCATTATTTACTTTTCCTTCATACATCAGTGTATGTACCATAATTAACCACATATAAATTAGTTGAAGCTTCCCCCTCTTGTTTTCCTTCATTACTTTAGTACAGAACCTGCCCTCTCAAGGTTCATAATTGTTCCCTGTGTATGGAAAGCCCTAAACCGAGCTCCCACTTCACAAAAACCAAAAGCAAGCACAGGAATGTAAGTGTACTACAAACAAGAGCAGAGAGTTTGAACAGTCAGTTATTACCACTGAAGGAGGAAGCATTCCTTCTTAGCTAAACATAAAAGAACACCATTAAAAAAATTTCAACAAACAACTGATGCCTTCAGATTTACATTGACAAACTCCAATAACTTTATTTCTGCTCCTCAGCACCAGAAAATCTTGCCATAAGTTACATATTATCTCTAGCTTTGATGACATTTGAATAGTTTAAAATGTGGGAGACCTGTTTGATCTGGCTGTTCAGCAACACTGCATTGACACCTGTTCCAAGACGTGACAGCTAACACTAAAGGGAATACAACATAGGATTCACCTTCTTTGTAATTCTTTCTGTGAGCACTTTCTTGGTGATACCTGCCTATTGCTGTAAGACTTGACCAAAATTATCTTTTAGGAAGGAAATGGGCTCCTTGTTGTCTAAGATCTACATGTACAGCAGACGAATGGCAGCTGTCGCATGACTGCACTTCCAGGGGTGGGTAACACAAGAGCTGAGGCTGGGACTCACTCACCCTTTCCCTTTTTGGCTTCATCATGGTGCAGTTTGCTTCTGCTGTCAAGCTGTTGACAAGTAGTTTCTACAACCCGCTGTCATTTTACTGTTGTTTTACCTTCATTAGGAAGGAAAATGCAAAGCTCATATTCCCAAAGAGAACAGGTGACATAAGTTGTATGAAAGTTTGCTTCCCCACAATGCCAGATAGGCATAGGGAGGAGGAGGATAGAACTTCTAGGCTAATTGAAAAAAAAATAGAAAAAGCAGAAAACTAACTGGGAATATGTTGCAAATGGTCCATGAGTTTTTTCACATAGGCAGAGTTTTGGAGATTAGTTTACTATTTCCTTATCCCATGCTGAAGGGAACAGGCTATGAAGGAAATGTGATGTTATTCACTCTGGCTTTAGTCCACTTTTCCATTCTGGCTTGGGAGGGGCTGCCTTCTCATAAGTCAACATTCCTGTTGTATAAAGCATTTTAGGAAGTAGGAATCATATTGTGTTACCGGAGAGACTATAACCAGCTGTGTGTTTAACTCTTAATTGCATAAAGTGCAAGTGATGGGTATCTTACAAAAAAGCATCCTGTGATTTAATTAGGCTTGTAGTGGAAGTTCCTAAATTTTTCAGCAGTTTATGTTCACGGCTGTCTCCTGCCATCAATTTAGTTTTGGAGTTACTGTGTTTCAAATAGCAAAGTTGCTGTCAAGCATAGCAGGGATTCCTCTTTTGCCTTACCACAGAGAAGGCTTGGCTTTTTTTCTTGTTTTAATCTGATTGTGATACAAAACCTCTTTCTTTCTTACTAGAGAAAAACAGGAAACACCTTTATATGCTGTTCTGAAAGCCATGTGTGTAGTGAGCTGTAACTGCTGATTAGGCCCTCAGCAAAATGCAGCTACAGCCCAGTCTGTTTGCAATAGAACATGTCTGTTGTCATCAGAACCATGTTTCTGTGCAGCCAATAACGTTCCAGTAGTTGCACAGTTTTCCTGTACAGTGGTGAATTACTGAAGTCAGTAGAGCATTAGTGAATGGTTTGTCACCTTCAATTCATGGATAATTTTTTGCCAAATAGTAAAGTAGGGTCAATATCTATTTAAGCTTTTACAGATTGATATAATGAGCTACAGTTACTGAACACAGTGAATAGTATAACTTAGCAAAGTAACTGTCTGTGCATAAGGCTCTGTGATTTGCTGTAGCTCCCTCTTTTTTGCTGTTCTGTCAGATTGTTTTTTTCAACTACATTTTCCCTCACAAAAAAAAAAAACACAGCTTGGTGGGGGGGAACTCCAGGGAAAGTGCCTAAGTGTGAGTGCCTTTTAGCACTTTCTCCTCAGGTTCACCTCTCTTGTCTGGAATCTGGTAGGTACGTTGATCACTCTGGCTCCTGTTGTATTAAGAACCACAGATTAAAGAAAGTCATGTGTATCTATGCACACTGTCAGGGAAATCAGGAATGGGGGACGGAAGTCCCCAGGGGAAGGCCAAAATTCTCAGAGAGCGCTTCTAATAGGTGGTACTAGTCAGACTAGTTCAGCTTTCCTCATCAGCACCTGCACTGTAGTTCCATAGCTCTGGAAAGCTTAGCATTTTAGGTAACAGGTTTACCTCTGTTCTACTCACTACTCAGCTACCCTGTGAGCAAGACACTGCCTTGACTCTCCCAACAAGGATTCAGCATTGCAAGCTGAGAACAAGGGAAGAGCCTAGCCTGATTTCCATGGCTTTATCTGTACCTACACTCAGTTTTTCAGAATAGGGCTGATTGCTGAGGCTTTTTTGCCTCGAATAAAGAGGCAGAAAACTCAGTATCTCTAATTTACACTTTTTCCCCTTCCTTCCTAATCTCCATGACATCTGGCTTAGTTTGGGATGGTCACTGACCAGAGTGGTGCTCCCAGGACAGAATTGTCTCTGATCCAGTTCTGGTAATGTGTCTTAGAGATAGCAGTATGGATGGTCTGATAAATGAGGATGACTTTGCATCATACTGACCTGTGATGCACATGAATTACTGATGCTAATTGAAGTACTTGAGATAGTGGAATTACTGTGTAAAGAGAGGATTGAGAACTAAAGTGCAAAGCTGGAGGCAAGCCATGGGATGAGACAAAAGACTAAAATAAGCCACGTATTTCTGGGAGAATGGCATTGCTAGTTTTGAAAGCATTTACTTTATATTTTGGTAGGGTAACTAGGAAAAAAACATGTCATGGCAAAGACCTGCCTTTCTTTTGAGACATACCCATTTTCCACCTGAATAGCTTCAGAACAAACATCTGCATGTCCCCTTGTTTCTTCCAGTGACTCATATGGATTTTTTTGTTTGCAGTCCAGTTAATTCTTGTAAGACAATTACAATTCTAAAAAACTGTTGTCTTTTTGCTACTAGCTGATAACTAAAATGCAAAAGCAGTGCTTACCATGGTATTTTTGAGTCTTTACTCAACAGGTGAGTACATTTTCAGTGTCAAGTAGAAAAATATTACTTATAGATAAGTAAGCTGAAGGATGCTATCATTACTGTGTTCATAGTCAAATAGAAAACCTGTAGTAGCTGCAGGAGCGGAACCTCTGAGTCCCACCCTCTCTCTGTGCTCTAATCTTCAAAAATACTCTTTGCTCTCATAGGAGGGGCTCTGCACAAAGTGTTTTTTATTCACTGACAGTTAAACTGTTTTCCATCATTGGTTGGTTTTCTCACTTACTACCAGTTTCTGAGCATTTTAGAAGGTAGCATTTGTTTCTCAAAACAATTGAAGGTTAAATCAGTGCTAGTTGCACTATTTTATTACTCCTAATTGCTGTTCAACTTAGTGCCATTTATCACTAGCAAACATGACCCAGAAACATACATTTAATCAGAATAGGTTTTTTTTCTCCGTTTATATATCTTCATTTCAGATTAGCAGCCTAAGTGACCAGTGTGGGAGTGAATAATTGTTTGATACTACTCAGAAGAGTCTTAGGAGGTTATTAAAGATAAGGTGACATTACCTTGAAGGGAAAACCCTGTCCTGTTTCAGTTTGCTTGGAGTTTTGAAATCTTCTGATAGCTGAATTTTGTTCTGCTTGTGGAGTAGGATGCAGCCAAGAGAAAAATGTGTTTTTCCTTGAGCTGCTTTTATGTGATTTGTCTCAGCTGCCTCTTGAAGACTGCAGTCATGTGGAGTGGGCTTCCCTCATCAGCCAAACATCTTTTTCTTCACAGTTCCTTTCTCTCTGGAAGGTGCTAAGGGGACTGGAGGTTTTTGGGACAGCTGAGCCAATCTGTTAGCTTGCAGTACAAAAAGGAGTCACAGCCCTGTGTGTGTGTATGGTAAAAACTTTCAATTTCATGTGGAGGTTCCCATGAGAGGCATTTAAAGTTGCCAGAGGTCTGTGGTACTAAATCTGATAGTGTAAAGGGCTAGAGCTAGGCTTGTGGTTGCTTTATATGAGCAATTACAAGCAAAAATAAAGCTTGACTGATTCTTGCTGTGTCTTTGTTGATGATGGTCCTACTTCTTAAGCTGTTCTCTGGCGACAATGTATAATATGAAGAAGAGCAGGAGCTCTTCAATCAGATGTATTTGGTCTGGAAGGTTGTTCACTGGTAACAGAGGATAAGGGAAAAAATCTGTCTTGATAGGTTCCTTTTTTTGAGGGTGCATGTTGCGTCATGTCAAAACTCTTATGACAAGGATAAACAAAGCATGTCTAAGCTTTTCTGTGTATGGTCATTGGGATTTATCAAGAAGCAACCCGGGATAATGCAAGGTGCTCTGTGGTCTCAGTTCCACTGAGGAATAGCTGTAGGAGAAGAAGCTTCTTGGTGTCTGTCAGTGGGATGCAATGAGGCTGTGCAGTATCTTCCTGGACAGAACACACCTGTCCTGTGACAACTGCCTGCAGTGTAACCTGTGACCATCTGAACACGGAACATAGCTGAGTAGCATTTGAGTCCTGTGCGTTTTACAGGCATTTGCATGTGTGTACAGGTCTGAAAAATGTGAAGATTCCTTTTTCCCTTCTTCCCCATACATGTATCCAGTTCTGAAGCTGTTTGAAGTTTTAGGAGAGGAGGTGGGCTCGTAAGTGAAGAATTGCTTTGTCACCATTGCAGCTGATGCAGCAGTAATTCTGGGGAAGATGCTGTAAAAATAAATGTCTACATTTTGAAATGTTTACTTCTTGATTTCTCTGCAGCTGTTGCCCTACTGACCTTTAATATGATCTTGCATCTTCTCTCCTGCTTGCTTTAGTATTTTTTAGAGGGGATAGGGGACCTTCCTGTTTTAATTTCCCTATTTAGTCTCAACTTTTTCCTTCTTTTTATGCCCTGTTTTTGTGGTGATTAGCCACACCAGGATTTTCAGTGAGGACTGTTGATCTGGACAGCTTCAGGTATCTGATGTCAGACTGGCCATTAATGAAGCTGCTCAGTAGTTTCACTTGCAAGCTTTCTAAGCTGAGATCATGGTAAAGCACTTTTTCTCTCACAGTTTATCCTGGCCTCTCAATTAACAATGACTTCTGCTTTTATAAACAAGTAAAATAAGAAATATCATTAATAGAAGTGTTAAAAATACTAACTGAAAACAGGCACCTCAGTACCAGAAGTTGCCACACATTCTTTCATATTACGTGTGTAAAAAAAATAGGTGTTATAGCTTGTTCTGAGGTGATGAAAGTGTGAGGTGATGAACATGCAGTATTTTGAGCAGTCAAGAGCATTGCCTTGGAGTAGAGAGAGTTCTGGCTTCCTTTCCTGTCTTCAGCTATTGCATTGCAAAATTTAAATGCACAAAGCTTTGCTTAAGCCCATTACTGCTTGGTGAGAGGGGGAGGGATATTTCCAAAGACTAAGGTCTTTCAAAATGATCTTTTGAAATCTTTCTGTGAAGTTTTTGAGCATTGGGGAGAAGGTAGAAACATTAGTTTGCAAGCTGACAGCCCAAAATATCCATCCAACCATTTCACTGGGTCCCTTTGAAATTCTGACTTTTGTTTTTGCCTGAGCAGAATGCAGGCATTCTAACAAATTTGATGATTAGTGCAAGTGTGATGCTTGAGATGGTTTAGCTTGTACAGAACAGATCTTGCCCACTTCTAAACTCCAGCTGCTTCATGTAGAGCGCAGCACACAGAAGACTGCTGTGAAACTTCATTTGTTCTTGCCTCACTTTAAAGCTGTGCAAGCAACCGTACAGCACGATCCTTTCACTGACAGTAAACAGAGCTCTTCCTTGTCTTATTAAACTTCTTAACAATCCCAAAGCATGACATTTATCCTTAGTTGTAATGTAATGTACCTTAGTTAACAAACGTGTAACAGTTTTATTCCAATCACAACCATGATTTCTGAATTTTGGGACCCTACTCAGTCTTTTATGGTTGGTAGAAAGATTATTTTTTAAATTTTAGTGGGCTCTGGCTCTGGTGCACCTGCTGTCCTCTGTAACTGCTGAATCCTTAGGACAGTAGAGGAATTCTGGGTATTTACTGCTCTCTCTGCAGTAAATTAGTAGTACTTTTTTGTGTCTGTAGAAGTGCTTATAAGTGAATTGGTTACAAGTTTTCCCCACTTTAATTTGAAGTTAAAATATCTGTACATTAATACTAGGAAATCGATGCTTTAGAAGTTTTGTTTTTTGGGGGGTGTAAGTTGCAAAGGCATTTTTAGGTTAATAAAATATGCACCCTTCCATCTTGCTGGTGTAGAAGCTGCTTCTGTGTTGTCCAGGTGCTGAGAAAACAAGTGTACTTTTTTGAGGCTGTAAGTACAGTTTTCTATTATATCAATACTTCCTAGAGATATTCTGAAGTTATTTCTGCTGAATAAACAGGCCATTTCTGACAACAGTGTTTTATTCTTTTTTGACTTTCAGACTTCAGTTTTAATGCAAAACCTGGTAAACAAAGGACAGATTCAGTGAATCTGCCTGGCAGTGCTTGCACAGAAAGGGTAACTTGGTTAACTTCTTGTTGGCAAAGATGATGGAGAATCTGTGTAATGATCAATGGAAAAGAGAAGAGGAACAGTCAGGACAAATGCTGTAGGGTATAAAGTTAAATGCCCAACTTGTTTTAATATATGGCACAGTGGTTTACAAGATCTTATTCTCAACTTAACAGATACTAACATTTTGCCTATTTCTGCACATCCTTTTCATAGCTAGAAGGGAGGGGTGGAAATTTCTCTCCTTCAGGTTATCAGAATGCCAAAGGGATGAGATTTGAGGTTGATTAAGGCTGCTTTCTGTACTGAAGGAGGGCTACTGCTCTTTGGAAATGATTGCGTTGCTTTCAGGTGGCAAATGCTAGGTTGCTACCAGACATTTCAGCAGTTGTTCATGACTGAAGGTGTACTACCAATGAGATGAAAAGATATTTTTCTCCCAGATGCTCCAACAGTGAAGGGGAGAAAGAGAAACTCCTTGTTCCAATAGTTTTTCTTCAGATTTGGTACAAAATGGAAAGAGTTCTAGCTAGCCATATGAAAAACAAGTTAAATATGGCTTGTTTTTTGTTTTGTTTTTCTAGAAGACCAGCCTGAAATAGTTAACAAGTTACATCAGGAGCAATTCCTTTGGTTCAGCCTATATTTAGTTTACTGGAACTTCAGGTTGTGAAATGTACGCTGTGTGTTCTTGTCCTTGCGCTAGAATGAAATATTTAAAAGAGGAAATGTTTTCAGTAATATTCCAGGAATCTTTTATTAAATACAGTTCCTATCAGCATCAATGGTTAAAATTTGAGGTTTTGGTCCCTTGAAAACAAACGCGTTTCTGCTTTGATTAAAATTCTGCTCTGCCAGTGTAAAGGATTTGAAACCACAACCTAATGCCACAATATAAATAAGTAATCTGGGGAATCCCCAGATGGCACAGAGGTGCCAGTGTGACTTCTGTGTGAAGTTGTCTTCTGTTCTGACAGCGCACACAGTGCCTCCTGTAGTGGGCTTGGAAAAGCAGTTTTTCCTTCCAGGTTTATGGAGAAGCTAGTTCGTGTAGCCATTTTTCTCTAATGGGCTTAAGCAGACAGAATATTCGCAAGCTGGAAAATCCACCTAGGATGGCCCCATTCCAGAGATTAATTGGCCAAAATTGATGCATGGTTTTTCCCTTTTTCAGGTTGGTTACAAAAACTTACAAGCCACATGCTGCCTTAGGTTACATACGACTTTTGCTTTTGCATCACTGGAAATGGTTGGCAAGACTTGCTTCAAATGTCTTCACTGAGAATAGGGACTTAACAGTAACAAAATATCTTAAGACCAATAATAAAATCAGTGATTAGGTTTGTCGTAGAATCTACTAGCAGTATCTTCTCATCATATCTGCATAACAAATGTATCTGTCTGCTTCATGCACAACCTGCCTGTCTTCCAATCTTCATATCCACTGTCCCTCTAGACTGTAACTTCTTTTGCATGGTATAGCTTTCATCTGCAGCAAAGTGCTTTCAAAATACAAATAGTAGTATATCAATAGAATCAAAATATTATAAATATTATGGCATTATTAGAAGTTGCCTAGCCTTAACCAAAATAAGAAATAATAACTACTAATTTTTGTGCTAGTCTTAGAAAGTTTTGCCTGTTAAAGGACTTGAGAATAGAAGGTAGGTTGCAAGTTACTTCATATACATTGAAAAGGGGATGCAGAGATAGGTAAAAACTTTACAGGTTGTTCATTATTCATTCTTTAACATGCTTTACTGTTTAGCCAGTAAAAGAACAGCAGCACATCTCTATTATGAAGAATTAGAAACTGTTCACTAATTACAGTTTTTGTTAAAAAGGCAGGGAATGCAAGGGAATTCACTAGAACTTGTCAGGAGTTACAGAGAAGCACAGGGCAGCTTTTTAAAAGGAAGAATTATTTTTAAAGCAGTACTTAGTTGTGTACTTATGAAAGAGCCAACTTAAGCATCTTCTAGGAGGGTACACTTCCTGTGGTAAGAAACTTCTTCATTAACTAGGCTCAGGACTTGTCATTGTTGCTAGTTGTTCATGATTTTCATAGCATTTTTTGGTATGCTCTACTGTTTACATTTTTCTTATTGTGTATGTGTGTTATTGCATTTGCCTTGTTTTTCAGTTGTACAATTTTGGAGAGACGGTTTCTATAGTTTTCTGGACAGATACATGGAAGCCAGAGAGCTTTTTTGACAAGATCAAGAAGAACAGGCAGAATGGAATGCACACACTCTGCTTACTTGGTAAGCAGCAGCTACCCCTGTTCCTTAGATACCATCTTCAGTGGCATCCAGGAGCAATCTTGATAGGCATGAGTCATTAAAGAAATGCTCTTAGCTAATGTATGTCTTTGAAAATACACCAAAAATTGGAATGTTAGTGTATGTGTACTTCAAGTGAGTTCAGCCATTGTTCGTGCTACAGCACCCAGGATTTCTTAATTCCTCTTCAGAAAATCCAAAATAAATTATGCCTTTGTAGAAGTCAAATAGGAGCAGGAGGCCCGTATTTGCTCTAAAGATCAGTGTGATTTTAAGCTAGAGCAGGCTTAGGATACAAATCAGATTGCAATGACAGCAGCTATATTTTATTGACTTAATTAGGTTAGAGCCAAACACATCTGACTTTCTGGAGAGTTAAATCAGACATTTAACTACATTTCTGTTTTGTAACATGGTATTCCCATTCCTAAATTATTTAATTTAGGGATATTTTGGCAAAATCCTTAGCTGTGAGAAGCTTCGGTGCTGTAAAAAAATCCTTGCCAATCGTGGAGCTGAAAGAGAATACTGCTTCTACCTGACCACTGTTCCAGGGCTCTCCCATGGTGCTGTCTGATCTTTATCCCACCCAGCAATCCTTGTCTGGAAGCCATTTTCTGAGTAACTCTACTAGTCTAGGTAGCTTCTGTAAGTGATGGAACTGCCTGTGTATAAACTGTAAGGCAATAGTGTATTTGTATGTATAGTTATGTATTTTTCTGTATCATCTTTCAGACACAGCTGCGATCTGTCAGTGCTAAATAAATTAATATTTGAAGTAAAAACAAAGTCTGTGGTAACTGGAGGAATCCTGAGCAGGAAACAATTTAAATGTGTAAGCATCGCTGCACATCAAACTTGCCAGTACCTTGAAAGTTTATTTCAAAACTAGCTAAAAATCAGAATTTTGGTAATTTGTTTTCAAGAAGAATAACTTTACAAGTGTTTTGAATAAGGATTATTATAACTATAGTATGTTAAACTGCAGTATTTTTCAGTATTTTCCATAATAATTTCTATGCTCTCCCCTTTTAACTTTTTTTATACAGTAATGAGAGTAAAATTTTTGAAACCATACGACTGAATTATTAATCTCGTGTTTTAGGAACAGTTGTGGTACCTGCATCTAATTGCAGCTCACAGCTGAAAAATACCAGTTTCCAAGTTAATTGGTCCCTTAATAATACTTGGTCATTCTGGTCTGTGTATTGATCATTTATCCAGCTAGATTACCAGATAAGCAAATGTGACATAAAAAGTTTAGGGCTGATAAACTTCTGAATTCAAAATGACTACACAGACATAAAAGCAACTTGGTAAACTGAGCAACTTGGTAAACTGCATGAATAATCTTTCAGCTTTGCCTTTTAAACCACTTTCTTCAGAGTGACTTTGGCTTAGGAGTTGATTGTGTATCTTAAGTAATATTTGTTTTAAGATCAAAATTAAAAATGTATCCAGCTGTCACTATGAAAATATTTTGGGGGCATCTGAATACAGATACCATTTGATTTCTTCTTGCAGAGATTGTGGTCAACTGAGATTCATAAAATTGCAGATATGCAGTCTTACCTGACTCCTTCCTCTTTATTTTTTGCCCAATCCTTCTTTTTCCAGTAACAAAAGATTGTTCTAAGTTTTGATTGGGATGGGAAGGAAGTGCTAACGAAAGTCAGGTTGCTGCACAGCAGTGATGTAATTGCTGTCAGTCAGTCATACTCTTGTACCTTTTGTTACCACAGTTTTCAGAATTTAAGAGTAGTACAAATACCCTCCTGGTCTGCTTAAACATGCTGGCATTTAACTATCCTGTAGTAAAAATAGCTGCTATTTGTATATTTGGTGGTATTCTTAATAATCTATGTTGCTGTATAATCTCTGAGACTTGCTCTATCTTTGGGTAAAATCACATGCATAAAATCACAGTATTTTGTGATGAATCAACATAGGAAAAAATAAAATGTGATCTATATTCCTTTTGCCTGGAAGAACTAAAATGTTGTTATAAAGTTTATAGAATCTACTAATTAAATTAATCTACCTACATAAAAAACTTAAGTGGGAAGTTTGTAGGGAACCTGCTTTTTAATATCCATTTTGTTCTACAGATATTAAGGTGAAGGAGCAGTCTCTGGAGAACCTGATGAAGTAAGTCATTTCAAAAATATACAGAAACACACTTTTAAAACACTATTTAAAAAGGATTTTTTTTTTGTACAAGGAACAGAGGTTCTTGGCCTGTAGCCCAACACTGAACTTACCTGCCTTCTCCTCTTGCACTTTTCAGTGGCCATGGCCTTTTGCTTTTTACAAAGAGCAGATAATTTTTGTTCATTACAATAAGACCTGGCTTTACTTACAGTGACTTTTTTTAAAACTATTTCCATGGGTAGCATTAAGTCAGTATGAGTTAAGCTTTCTGTCTGGCAAATTAAGTGTTACTTGATCTACTGTTCTGTCCAATTCTGAAACAGATTAATATCTGAAGCAGTTTTCTTGAATTCTTCCTTACACTGGCTAGAAACAGCGCAAAGTAATGAACAGATACCACACTTTTTAAACAGCCAAATAAGCAATATATAGAAAATGCTCTTGAATTCATTTATCTGTATTCAAAAAAGCTTTTGCCACATCTTAATCATCTTCCTGCAATGTGTATATTTTGACAGTGGCAAATATGAATGGTTACTTTATATGCATGCTGCAGCTCTGGCCTAAATTAACATTTGTGAAGTCTCACAGTATCATTGAGGTTTGTTTATTTTGGAGTTTCAAAATAAAATGTTTTACTGAATCCAAAGTTGGCAAAGAAAGCAGCATTTCATTTATTTACAGTCTGTAATCATCTGTCTACTGGGCATTTGACAGAAAAGCAGTAGTTTGCCCTTGAATTTAATGCATCTTTAAGGAGTAGCTGCAAAACTTGCATATTGCTTCCAGCAGCTTTTAGGACTCAAACGACCTGCCAGCTGGAGGCCCTGCTGTTTCACAGGTGTGGTGAGAACACAAGAGACTTCTGTCTTCCTTGACAATTCCGCTCTTGTATAAAAGGCTCAGCCTGAGAGCCTGGGCCTGCTTAAGTTCAATTTGCTGGTCTAGAATTTTCTGAAATAAACTGTATGAACTCTAGGAATAATGAAATGGGTTATACATTATTTTTTTTCTACTTTTCTCTCTGCAGGGGAAAAAAGATATATGAGCCACCACGCTACATGAGTGTGACTCAAGCTGCAGAACAGCTTCTTTGCATTATTCAAAACAGGAGGCTCCAAGGAGAAGAACCAGGTACTATTACTACAACAGTTGTCTGTGATTATTTCTCTCAAGCTACACTTACTGATGAGCCTCTGAACCCTACTCCCTTCCTTCTTTTTACTAAAAATCCATCTAGCTATATTCCTCTTTTTAAAATCCTTTAATAACAGGTCAATCCTTTCATTTTATATTTTATATAGAATGAAGCAGAAGCAGCAGTTTCCTCAAAGTGAGCACAATTCCTGAATGAATTTTGTTTTCTCTTTCTTCTGCTTTCCTATTCTTGCTTATAAACATCCCTAAGAAACAACTTTATTTTTTCTGAAGAACAAGCTTCTTTCTAGGCTACTCCAATGATTTGGAGACTTAAGAAAACACTGTTAAGGTTTAAACATCTTGAGTACTTTTTCCTTTATGATTGGATTATCAGTCAATAAGTGAAGCATTTAATCTTCTTTCTTACAGAAATTTCTGAGGACACGGTTTGTGTTGGGCTCGCACGTGTGGGTGCTCCAGATCAGAAGATTGTTTCAGGCACACTGCATCAGATGTCTACGGTGGAATTAGGTGGTCCACTACATTCCTTAATTGTTACAGGCAATATGCATCCCCTGGAATTAGAAATGCTTAAGCTTTTTTCTGTAGCTAGTTCCAGTTTTGAAAATAGTATCTTTCAAAGGACCACTTAAATAAAAATGGGGCATTTAAACTTCTATTTCATCTTGAGAGCATGAAGTTATTCTTGTGACTATTCCTGGTGACTTCAAAAGACAATGTAGGAACATAGACCTGCTTTTATCTGAGGCTACAAACTGCAAGCTGCACCTGCTAGTAGCAGCTTCTGACATGCAGACACCTCCAGAAGCCATTAAGACCTTAAAAAAACTTTGTCTGATTAAGTTCATTTGCATCCACATCAGTCTTAAGTTCATGACTAGGATAAGAACTGCAAATAGATAACTGAAGTGTACCAGATAGCTGTCTGGCATCACTTTTGCTGCAGTACATTAACCAAACCTGCTACATACTTTGTTATAAATGCATTTTTTATGTTAAATTTTGCTTTTCAACTTCCCAGAAACTTAGTAGTTCTCTCACCAATAGAAAGAATTAGTGGGCAAAACTGGCTAGGTCTGTATCCATCTTTACACTCAGGAGAGTGAATACAGACAGGTGAGAATGTTCTTTTTGTCTAAACCAAGAAAATCAAGAACTCACTTTGGCCAGTTGTTGAAATAGAAGCAGCAGCTGTATAAAATTTCTTATTTCAGAAGGTCACAGCTTAAAATAGAACTGAATTTCCTATGTTAATACCAGGATTTATGAAGTGCAAGCTATAGTAACCACAATTAACCTCAAGACAATTCTGAGAAGACAGACTGCAAGAGTTCTCATGAAAGTCAGCTAAGATGGTGGTTGCTACTTCAACTAGTATACACAGTACATATGACAACAAAGCAGGCCTGTGCACTTTTTTTTAAACTGAAGATTTATTGAAAAGAAATTTGATCCCATATCTTTTCAGCAATATAGGACATTTTAACATTTTATATAGACTGTATTCAAGTAGAAAAGATTACATTAAAAATTTCTACTATTGCACTTGGGACAAGTCATGGCTAAGCTACTAACATCAGCATTCCAGAACAAAATCATACGCAATCTTCAGAATTTTAGTGAGCTGCCTTGTCTATTAAGATTTCTTTGCAGGTATTTTGATACCTGTATTCTTTTGTACAATTCAACTTAAGCTCATTGCTAAGAGTAATTCCTGTAATTTAAAGGTAGAGGCAAGCAGTATGCTGTGTGCTACAAGGAATGATTTGGGCAATTTCTTCATTCACAATATTTCACACTTCAGCCAAAATACTATAGCGATTCATTTAACTCTTGTACAAGATCCCAGCACACACATGAAGGCTTCAATGCACATGGGAAGTGAAATACACA